TGTAGCCAGCAGCCAGCGTGAGTGGCCAGCAGCCGCAGTGAGCGGCCGTCCAGAAGCTGGAGACTGATCTGCCTCGCCCGGGAAGAGCGCAATGATGGTGCCAACTTGGGCCAGTGAAGCAACATCCTCCACAACCAGACTGAAGAACAAAAACGACAGCAACTTGTCTGTTCCCCTTCCCCCAATTCCCCAGCACTGTTCCCATCTCCCCAATTCCCCAATAAAATAAAAATTAAAAAAAACTCTCCAAAGCTTCCTAAGGTATTTAGGCGGAGGAAGCCCTAACTTCTCATGGCCTCTCAAGCCCCACATGATCTGACTCTTGCTTACCTCTTGGACCTCATCTCCGCCCCCTCTTCCCTGGCTCTGGTCTGCCAGCCACACCAGCCATCTGCAGGCACAAGGGGCAAGCTCCTACTTCAGGGCCTTTTTACCTGCTCTTCCTTGTGCTTGGAATGCCGTTCAGCCAGTGCTCAGTGGTTTGTCATTTCATCTCACCAAGGTCCTTGCTCACATGCTGTTATCTTCAGAAAAGCCCTCCCTCACTACTTTATCTAAAACAGCAACCCCTGTCACTCTCCATACCTTTGACCCAGCTTTATTTTTTTGCAGGACATTTATTGCTAGATGAGATATTACATATCTACCGGTTCATTATCTTCCTTACGAGAATCTATTGTACTACACAATGAGAACTCTGTCTTGTTCACTGCTGTGAACAGTACCTTACACAGCAGACAACAACAATTCTTACATCAACAAATAATTCTTAGGCCGGCCAAGTGGCTCAGCTGGTTAAGAGTTAGCTTAGGGGCACAACCTCTGAGCAGCAGGACCGCCGGTTCGATTCCCACATAGGCCAGTGACACTTAGCCTGAGCTGAGCTGCTGCTGAGCCGCCAACGGGTCGCGGGATGGCTCAGCTGGTGAGAGCACATGCTCTGAACAACAAGACTGCCTGTTCAACGGTGGGCTACGCCCGCCTGCAACTAAGACTGATCTCGGCACCTTGAGCTGAGCTGCCACCCAGATGGCTCAGTGGATACAGCGTGCACTCTTTTTTCTTTTAAAGATTTTATTGGGGAATTGGGGGAGGGAACAGACAAGTTACTGTCCTTTTTGTTCTTCAGTCTAGTTGCGGAGGACATTGCTTCCCATGTTGGTATTGTGACCACTGAGCTCTTCCTGGCTGAGGCAGATCAGTTGCCAGACATTGGACGGCCGCTCACAGTAGCTTCCGGCAGCCCAGCTCCAGGTCAAGCTGTTGTTCACCATCTTAGCTGTAGAGGACGCAGCGTCACTGGCCCAATGTGGGATCTGAACCCACGGCCCTGCTGCTCAGAGCTCGCGCTCCCAAGCCAACTCTTAACCAACAAGCCATTCGACCAGCCCAAGCATGCGCTCTTAACAACAAGGCTGCCGGTTGGACTCCCACACGGGATGGTGGCTATGCCCACCCACAACTGGAACTGAACTCGGCACCTTGAGCTGGGCTGCTGCCCGGATCACTCAATGGATAGAGCGTGCGCTCTTAACAACAAGGCTGCTGGTTCAACTCCCACATGGATGGTGGCTACACCCAACCGCAACTAAGATTGTAACACAGCACCTTGAGCTTAGAGGCCATGAGCTACCGACGGGCTGTCGGATGGCAACTGCCGCCCTCCACAACTAAGATTGAAGAACAACAACTTGGCTGGTCTCCTTCCCCAATTCCCCAACACTATTCCCCTCCCCCAATTCCCCAATTTAAAAACAACAACAAAAAACAAATAATTATTGAATAAATAAATTAATCTCATCTTATCCTCACTAACCCTGAGGAAGCTGCTCTTACCATTTTAAGAAGGAAAACTGAGTCTTAGGCTAATCAATTTGCCCAATATCAAACAGTTGTGAAGAGTGGAGCATGAATTTCCAGTGCATCTCAAACTATCTGTGGTAAAGAACCAGTTTTTAAAATTTTCAACCTGTTGTGGGTCAATACTTTTAAAAAATTCAACAAAAGTTATCACTGTAATGTCAAACTGTTCTAGAAGTTTCTAAACACTTACTCTGAATTTCTATCCCTATCTCATAATGAACCAGTTCTGGTCCACAGGCCCTTTCTTTAAGTAGCTTTCAGGCAGGCAAGATAAAACTGTTATTGTCCCTTGATTCTTACCACTGGCTGAATATTCAAATCATCAGAGTTTAAAATTAATACAAATACCCAACTAGCTACCCCTCCACCTGGGAATTCTCTAAATCAATAACAGCATTTTTTTAAAAAATCATGAATGGAAAGGGTATAAAGTGATATGTATTTTTCTCTTATAACTATTTAAGTTTTTGAGCATTTTAGTTGTTTGAGCAAACAGATAAAGAGACATCTTCTCTGACCATTATACTAAAAGTGCTAGATCATTTCCAAAAAATTACATAATACCTTAATTGTAACCCGCCCCAAGGGGTAAGGATTAGAAACACACATTTCCAAGACTCCAAAAAGGAAGAAGGGGGAAAAAAAGAAAAAGAGCACAATAGTGGGGCCCACATAAGGCCTGAGGAGCAGTGCTGAGCTCACTGTAACTATAAGCATCAACAGCTCAGGCAGCACAGACAGTCCCGGTGCCACACACTCCGGGCTGTGCAATACTGGGTTATATTTAAATTATATCCAGCCACTAAAGTAACTTCACATTAACACTTTCTTTCTTCCTGCCTGAATTGTGTGCTTTTGAAAAACATCTGGGTCACATTCATCACACAAGCATGGATAATGATCTAACTGGTGATTAAAAACCAAAAAAGACTGAAGTTACGTACAATTCTTTCAAGCGAGTTTGAGAAAAAGCATTTTCTTGGATAGACATTATAGCATTGTTGTTCAAATCTCTGAAATAAAGAGAAACAAAACATTACCAGTCACCATTTCTACAATTAAGTTTCTATAAACACTTTAACTGGTCATGAAAACCTCTGCTAATAGCAAAGATTATTTATAAACTGAGTAAAATATATGCAGAATACTTACAGATGCTCAAGGGATTCAAGACCAATGAATGCTTTCTTTGTAATTGACTTAATCTGATTTCCTTGTAAGATTCTGAAAAACAAACAGACCTTCCTAATAAAGCTCTCCACTAAATGAAATTAAATTTATTAAATCAAACATTTACCTGTAAAAGATGAAAATAAGCTTAACGTGCATGTTTAAGAAAGCTGCAAATCTTTATGATTAACCAATGCACAGCACAGCATGAAGGCTTCTATTAAGATGTTAGAGCTCAAAGAGGTACCTGTGAACAACCACCTCACCACTGACACACTGGTAGTTTTCATAAGAAATTGGACTATTTCCCCAGTTTCTCCCTTCTTAGCAAATGATCATCAAGTCAAAGAAATTCAGATACGTGTGAAGCCCTGAAGAAATTCTCATGGGCAAATATCTAAAATCTTACTTGAGAGAATCCTCTCTTGCTAAATTACCCATAAATCTCACATCATTAAACAGATTACTGACTCAACTCTGATTTCTCAGAGCATTTCTTTTACTTAAACAGAAATTCTAGCTCCATAAACAACTTCCCTTTAAGTGTCCATAAGGAATGCTCTTTCAACAGAAAGTGCCCCATCACAGAAAACAAAATTTTTAAAAATCCCAAAAAACAAAAAAACTTGATAAACAACAAAGCTTCTTTAGTGAATGGGTCAGAAGGCTCAGACTTTCCAGCCAAAACAAACAGACATAATCCAATCACATTTACAATTGATTCTTGAAGATACACCTTTGTAGACATATAAATAGTACAAATACATACAATTTAGTGAGACTTGTGAGTCCAGCAAAGGCTTCATTAGCATCTTCTATGGCCCATGAAATTTCATTGTTTCGTAAATTTCTATAAAAATGTCAGAGAAAGACAGGTTCTGTTAGACCACATGACATTACACCATCAGGCACCAGCCTGGCATGGCAATGCTAATTTTTATCCTTCTTTAAACAGCTAAGTTATGATAAAGACTCAACTTTTTTTTTTTTTAAGGTTTTATTGGGGAATTGGGGGAGGGGAACAGACAAGTTGCTGCCCTTTTGTTCTTCAGTCTAGTTGTGGAGGATGTTGCTTCACTGGCCCATGTTGGTATTATCATTGCGCTCTTCCCAGGTAAGGCAGATTGGTAGCCGGCCTCTGGAAGGCCGCTCACGATGGTTCTTGGCAGCTCACACCAGCTGCCGGCCACTCAAGCTGGCTGCTGGCCACTCACGGTAGCTTATGACAGTCCACTGCAGCTGGGGCTGCAGCCTATGCCGTCACCAGCGACTCACGGCAGCCCAGCTCCAGGTCGAGCTGTTGTTCACCATCTTAACTGTGGAGGGCAGTGTCACTGGCCCCATGTGGGATCTGAACCGGGGCCCTGCTGCTCACAGCTGGTGTCCCAAGCCAGCTCTTAACCAACACACCACTCGGCCGGCCCAAAGACTCAACTTTTTAAAGAATGTCTGTGATAAGTACATAAAAACTAATTCTCATAAGCTCAGAATGAAGCTGGCCTTGATAAATAAATTAAGCAACCTGCAAGAGTATGAATCGGCCTAGCTAACAGCCCCTAATTGTGTTATCATATTAAAAATTAGTCAGGGTCCTGCAAGAAGCAGGAGGATTTCAAGATGCAGGGGATATGGCTTACAAATCTGATTTCAGACTAATGGGATTTCTGGGTGACCCAGGCCTTTGCCTGGGCCCTTAACCTAAAAGGGCTGACACACACACACAAAAAAAGGCTGACAAAGAGTGATGTCAGTCCAGTTTCACAGCTCCACAGCCATTAAACACACCCCTTGGGAAGCAAGAATGTACTAGAGTGATCACTGTTCTCTTTAAAAGGAAAAGTATGGATCTTTTAAAATCCACTGTTGCTTTCTCAGAGGAAACGCAATTGCACCACACCATGCCCTCTGATGGAAGAAACACCAGTTCAAGATATTTAATCACTTTTGCTTCCTTAAGTTGTCTCACAGGAAAGTACAAAGCTTTTTTGCTTTATAAGACATATACACAGTTGTATGAATCACAGTAAGGAGATAGATCACTCTTCCCATTCAGCTATCCATTTCCTCAAAACGAGAGCTAACAGAGCTCATTTCATTTCACTAAGGAACAAACACCGAAACAACCGATGGCTCAACTCTTCAGGATGTTCCCTGTCCTCCACAGCACAGCAGAAATAAAACTCATCACCAAAATGAGTAAGAGGTACACTTACGATGGCAAGAGCACTGGTCTAAAGCCAGGGTTTCAGATCGGATCCTAATTCTGCCTTAACGATCTCTGTGGCATTAGACAATCAGTTACTTCTGCAATTACTTTACTAAACTTTAATGCTACAATAATCACTGGTATACTGAAAGAAACTGTTTGCCATCCCCTGACTGGTCAAAAGGCAATTTGTACCTGATAACTGATCTGGTTTCACCTCTGATAATGTAGAAAATGATGGGGGGTAGAGGGGGTGACTTTGAATTGTTAAAGGCCAAATCTGAAGGAAGACTACCTCACTAACTTTAAAAAAAAAAAAAGAAAAGAATTGGGGCCAGCTGAGTGGCACATTGGTTAAGAGCTGGCTTGGGACACCGGCTCTGAGCAGCAGGGCCCTGGTTCAGATCCCACATGAGGGCAAGTGACGCTGCGCCCTCTACAGCTAAGATGGTGAACAACAGCTCGACCTGGAGCTGGGCTGCCATGAGTTGCCGGTGACAGCGTAGGCTGCAGTGAGGTTGCAGTGGGCTGCCATAAACTACCATGTGTGGCCGGCAGCCAGTGTGAGCGGCCGGCAGCCAATCTGAGCTGCCAAGAGCCGCTGTGAGCAGCCGTCCAGAGGCCGGCGACCGATCTGCCTCGCCCGGGAAGAGCGCAACGATGATACCAACATGGGCCAGTGAAACGACGTCCTCCACAACTAGACTGAAGAACAAAAGGACAGCAACTTGTCTGTTCCCCTTCCCCCGATTCCCCAGCGCTGTTCCCCTCCCCCAATTCCCCAATAAAATCTTTTTTTAAAAAAAAGAAAGAATCAAACACATAGACACAGCTTCACAAAGTTATCATGCTTTCTTTCTCATTGATGGTTAGGCCCCAAAGTTGGGAGCCTGTATCTTTTTTGAGACCATTTATCAACTCTGAACCTGATGACCAGAAAGTCCCCTTTCAGGAACCTAAGAATCTACAAATTCTACTAATTTCTCTCTTATTCAATTATTCTGCTCTGTTTAAGATTATTGTATTTCATTAAAATACCTCTTCATTCCATTATATTCATGATCAGGGTACAACATTCAACTTACAGAATCACAGAATTTTAGAACTGAAATTGCCTTCAGTAACCATCTCATACGTCCATCTTCACTGGATGAAGAGACAAGGAAAATGGCAGCCAGGAAAGGCTAAGTGATTCTGTTCATCAGGCAGTACGGCAAAGCAGGTGAGCTTCAATACCAAACAGGCCTGGCTTCTAAACCTGGCCCAAATATCTCCAGACTATGTGACTTTAAACACATCATTATAATTTCCCTGAACCTCAGCCTCCAGATATGGAAAAGAGCAATCATATCCTAGTATTCTGGAAGCATCTGGCCCAGATTATTAATAAATGTTAGTGTTTCCTGTTCCAAGTCATGCAGCAAATTAGTAACAATGAGCAGGTCTCTTGCCAGAGATACACATCCTGCATCCTTCTGAATGAGAAATAGTAGTTCTGGTACACAACTGGCAGTTCAAGGTCAGAGGAACAAAAAAACGTGCATTTCTGACACTAGCAACTGGGTTTTATTCCACAGTAACTGGCACAGTGAGAGGTGCTTTGTTGTTTGGTTGATTAACTCAGAATTAAAGTACAAACTGAACTAGCTAGAAATAAGACTTAAGTATGGGGACCGAGACAAGTAAGACTATCTTGCACCATGGCACAGGACAGAAGAACATCAAAATATTAACATATATAAATCTATAGGTGATTCGTTGTTTTAATTTATTTGCTTTATTGCTTTAAAAAAATTAGCCAAAAAAAGACAGATGTACTTACAGTGTTTGAAGATTGGAAAGAAACCTAAACACACCATCAGCAATGTGAGTGACTCTGTTGTCCCCTAAATTCAGTCTCTCCAGTAAGCTCAGACCCACAAAGGCAGATTCATCCAGGCGGGTCAACTGGTTATAGGACAAATCACTGAAAACAGGAAACATGGAAGGTAAGGAATTCGCTGCATTTCAGTTCAACTTTCATATCCTTATTCCACTTACATGATAAATTCAGAGCTTTCAACAAGCTTCTAATAAAGAGGGATGTTAGGTTGCATTACTGGCCATGGGAATGATTCATTCCAATCTGCGCTAGTCTCATAGCCTCCCCTGGAATGCCATCCAACACTCACAGCTCAGATAGTCTTTGGCAGAACTCCCAGGCATCAGGGCTGATTCTTTCAACAGCGTTCTGGCCCACATAGAGCTGCTGTAGCATTCGCAAGCCATACAACCACCCCTTGTTCACTTCTGTAAGGTTATTATGCTCCAGTTCTCTGCACATTAGAGAAAGAGGGGAGAAAATATGTTTCATAACAAGCTCTGCGATGAGGAAATTCCTAAAATCTTCATTAAGTCTTGCTCAGAGAAACATATACCTTCGCTCAACCCAAGTGAGCCAACAAATTCTAGTCAATAAATATTCACAGCTTACTTCAGATTTAGTACTAGAAGGTAGTAAGACTGTCTAAGATATCAGATCTATAAAATCGAGACACCGAGACATATAGATACCTATTCTGGATAAATTCTGATAATATTCATCAGCCAAAACATTAAGGGAATACAGACTATTTAGATGAAATGTTTGTAAAAATTATGACAAAAATGCCAGTTAGATAGCGAAACTTAAAGAGCTTTGTATACACTTATTTCACATCAGGGAAGAGAGAAAGAACTGCTGTACCTTGGTATCCTTAAAGCAGCTGCCCTAGTTGTTTGGCACGAGTCCCAGTCAGACTCCTTCCCTAACCACCTCCGATTCGAGGTCATAGTACTTACAATTCTTCCATGTTATCCAAGCCAAAAAATGCTCCATCCTTCAGTTTGCTAATTCCATTCCGCTGCATTTTCAAAGATCTTAAGGAGTCAAGCCCTTGGAATGTTAGACCTTCCACAACTTTAATCCTGTTTCTTTTAAGTTCCCTTTAACAAAAATAGTTTTGCAGTCAGAAAATTGGTTTGCTGATGTGCTCTAATAATAACTAAAAAGAACAAGACTCACAAGAACTGGAGGTGAGGCAGCTTGAAGATTTTGGGTGGAATCGTGCTGATTCTGTTCCGGTTTAACTTTACCACTAGTAAGGAACTCGATAAATTATCGAAGCAACTGGCCTCCAAGATGGTTATCCTATTATTACTCAAATTCCTAAAATGAACAAGATTGCAACAACATAAAAAAAACTTAGTGGAACAACAACAAAAACTACCACTGGAAAGCTGCCCAGAGTCTATGACTGAGCCCCAGCTCTATCTACCACTTAGCAACTGTGTACAACTTTACAAATAATTTAAGTGCTTTGTTTCTTCAACTACAAAATAAGAATACCTAGTTCATTTGGGTTGAAACAGTACGTGTGAACATGCTTATAAACTGCAAAACACTAGCACACAGGCAAATTACCATCATCATTCTATAGGGCGAGCCACTGTTTAACAAACCACTCCTATTCACCTTTTACAAAACTGGCAATAAAACAAATTAGAGAATTAAATCTCAAAAATTACCCCGGATACTGAACAGTATTTTCTGACAATGGTGCATAGCGCACTCTTTAAGAGGAGAAAAAACTCAATAAGCCCGAAAACCGAAAAACTGACCATACATTTGTTTCACAATATGCATATCAAAATAACAACAACAGACATTTCTGGAGAGATAAGCATCAATGAATGATAAACATGCACTTCAAAGTCAATCTAGTTTAAACTAGCATTAACTTACAGGTATTTAAGCTGCATTCGAGGAAATGAAGATGTCTTGATTTCTGATATTATATTTGAGCTGAGATCTAAGTTTTCAAGAGCAGGGTAAAACTGCAAAGCCTCTGCGTTTACTTCTGGGATTGCATTATGGACTCTATAAAATAAAGATTATATTAAAGCTACTGCCAATGATCCACCCCAGGCCACAAGGACATTAAATAACTGGGATCAACAATAAGAGTATCCAAAACAAAAACCGAAAAACTGTGTACTATTCATAATTTAAGTAAAAGATCTGAAATCTTATTTACTTACAATGACAGCAGAGTAATATTAGAAGTTGGTTCTCCAAAATATGGGATTTCTGTTAGCTCATTGTAATTCATTTTCCTAAGCAGGAAGAAAAACAGATTTCAAAGTTTTGTGAGAGACATGTTACCTCTGGTTTATTGGCTAGTACATATTCTTTAGGACAGGTGCCACATTTTTTAAAAGCCTATGACTCAGGATGAGTTAGATTAAATGTATAATACTGTGAAATCAGAGATTTTAATAAGAAATGTTTTTTCATGGTATAGCTCTACAACTGATCTCAATATTTAAAAGATTAAGAAATATTTTGCACATTATTTTTAATCCCAGCAAGGATCTTTGAATAGTTACATTTATGACATCTAATATGACTCCTTAAACAAAGAAGGAATAATTAACCCATCCATATCTCTTTTATATATTTAAAACAAATAAAATTATACATTAAATTTTTTATGTATAAAAAATTTTTTAAGTTATTCATGGTGAGGCAGGGCTGCTTGAGGGCACAGATAACATTAATCTGCCTTCCCAGAGATGGAGCTTAAGGCTGGTTTTACAGAAGACACATCACCATCCGATCCCAGGAGCTCTTTAAACAGATTGTCTCAAACGTTTTACTAGCAAATCTAATCTCATCACATTTTATTAACCTGGTTTTCAATCACTGAACAGCCTCAACAATCTAGAATACAGAGAAACAAAAAAAAAACCCAGAAGTAAAAGGCCTCTAAGAAACCAACCTAAGTTATAATACAAAGTCCATGTAATAAAAAAGCTCATGACTTCCCATGGAAGCACTTTCACCCCCTTCCTTAGCGCCTACTCTTTCAGCTAATAAGCTTGTCAATTGTTTCTTCACTCCACAGCAGATTAGAAGCAGTCAGTTTGGGGCAGGGAAGGAGAGACTGCAGGGACAATGAGTGCACGAAGAAGTTACTTATCCCTAAGTCAGCAAGAAATCAGAACCAAAAATAAACCTGAGGGTTCTGGGGGTATTTAGGGTAGAAGCAAAACAGGATCAATAGCTGTGCCTCTGAGAACATCATAATGCAGTGACTGATAGTAACAATATTTTAGAAAATTTCCTCCAAAGCATACATAATAGATCTCAGTATTAAAGGAAAAAACATCAGTGAAGTGGAAAATTGAATCATATTAACCACACTGCAAATGATGCCGAAAATATTGTATTTCATATAAATCACTTCAGACATGATGCTTCCATCTTAGATGAGTCAAGACATTAAAAAAAGTTTACACAACAGAGTTTTACTGGCTTAAACTTTGGCAAAAAACAAATAAAACATATTTACTCTCGAGAGGAAAAAAATCTTACTTTTGGCTCCAAGGAAGACTATTTCTTCACAGTTTGCAACTTGAAATCACCAACCCAATGGAATGGCACAATGCCCACAGAGTTTGTGATGATAACAAAGCCAGAGATGACAGTTTAAGTTTTTAAACAATGTCTTTTAATTTTTTTTCTTCAATTTTTTGATAGCACTTTTGGATTGAACAACCTCAAATTCATAATTCATCAGATCACCTCAAGGAATTTCATGTAAATTTAAATAAGCAAAATAACTTACACTTCTTGTAATGTTTGAGATTCCAAGCTGACGTTCCAGTGAGACAACCGATTATGACTCAAGTCCCTAGTGGAAGACAAAAGATCATTCTTAGTTAAGTGTTAGAAAGCAGACTTATAGGAAAAAAAAAAACCTAAACTAAAATGCGAATCCAAAAGCACTATCAAATGTGAATTTGAGTAGTACAGACAAAAAGAATGTTTATAAAAGATGAAAAAAATATATATAGATTTCAAAATAGCTAGTTTATTTTTTCATTTTTATGAGGTTTTGGGGTTTTGTTTTGTTTTTTTTTACTAATTGGGAAAACATTCACATGGACCAATAATCAAAAAATATAAAAGGGTATACAGCAAAAAGTTTCCCACCCTTGTCTCCAGCCATCCAATTTCCCTCTCATTGAATAAAATGAAAATATTATTTCTTGTGCAGTCTGTCAGATACTTTATGCATGTATAGCAAATTTTTACACAAATGGTAAATAATTTACACATTATTTTGCCCTTGCTTTTTTCACTTGACAATACATCTTGTAGATCATTGCACAGCAACATTACAAAGTTTGTTCATTCCTTTTAGTAATTATACTTTATTATGATGTACTATACTTTATGCACTTTTGAAAGAAATATATACTTTTTAAAGTAATATGTACTTTTTAAATATATACTTTACACAATATATAGAATATATATTATACTATCTTACACTTTAGCTGTAGATAAACTTGAAGACAGATTTCACAAGTCAAAATAGTTTCTGTATTAGAAATGGGGTTGACCACATCCTTAATAGAGATATGGTCTTCCTAAAAAAAAAGAAATCTAGTTTCAGGAAAGAAAATTTCATCTCACTTCAAATTATGTTGGTGATGGTGGCGGCGAAGGAGACAGCTAACATTTATTCAGTGCCAGACATTCTTCTATACACTTTGTATATATTAACTGCCTAAATCCATATAACCACCTTATGAGGCAAGTGCTTTTACAATCCTCACTTCCTGATACACAAACGAGCAGAGATTAATAATTTGTCAATCCAAGGTCACGCGGCTAGTAAGTGAAGAAGCCATAAACTTGAAATTCCACCTCACTTCTAGCAAATAATTTACTAGATATAGCAGATTTCACTGAAATTAGCCATGAGTCTAAATATTTAAATAGGCTTTAAAAAAAATTCACCTTGATGCTTCCGGGCTTCTTTACAAGGCTGAAGTGGAAACCAGCCCACACAAGCTGGCTGCCCAAGAGATGTATTATACATTACAATATGGCTAGCAATAGAGACAGGCTGGAGAAACATCACAGATCGCTTTATCTCACTGGGCCACCACAGGCAGCTGACAGATGCACGTGCTTTGAATGATGTCTCTATCACAGAACAATTTGTTCTCAGCTAGATTCATGCCTGCATATCTACAAAACCTAGCCACTATCATTTATGAGCTTAACCTAACACAATGACTTAACTAAGACCGGATCAAACCATCACTTTTCTACAACAGTTCTACAACCTTTATTCCAAGATATCTGGTAGCAGATATCAGTTCAAGGTCACTCGTGAACGGAGAGGTGTATTGGGAAATGTAAGAGATAAAAAATATGAATCTGTTCCATATAAAAATCTTACAGTGATACCTTAACCAATTCAATTCACACTTGCTACTAAACAATGAACACAGACTTTCACATTTCACAGATGTTTATTTATTGTGGTGTTTCACCTGAAGGAGAAATTCAGCTGTTCTAATTTAAGTTAGATATTCCATATTCTGCTCCAGGGTGGCGAGTCTGGCCAATAGAGAGCTAATATTATCTGTGTAAGCGGACTCGCATACTATGATTTATTCTACATCTCATGCTTGTGGAGGTTTAATTTTTTTTCCTTTTACAGATTAAGGGCTTTCATTTTAGTAACAGTGCTTCTAATGCTTTTCCAAACCCTAATCTCCCTGGCAGTGTATCTCTTGACTGTACTCACCCACTTGAGTTCTCGCATGGATGTCAATGTGACCAGATAATCCGTTTTAAAGGAAACCATTACTCATATTAAAGGATTTGATAACCATCAAATTAAACTCAATTCTATACAAACTTGGTAAACTCAACATGGTATAAACCACTTTGTATTCAGTACCAGTGAAAACTGCCCAGCGTCTCTTTTGGGGGAAAGAGTAATTTTCTGTGTCTTGGAAGAACCTCTGAGGCATTTCAATGGAACTCAGTGGAAACCTGAAACATTCCAGAGCCTCTCCATTGGGTAACACTGTCTTAAGGATGCACGCCTCCTAGGTTAAAACCCCATATATTGATGCTCTCTGGACCTTCCTAAAATAAATCCACATTGAATGGATTAAAGAAAAACTACCAGTGAACTGAGATACACTCCAGAAATAGTACTATCATAGAAAGCAACCAGTATCAATCAGTGTAGCTGTTTATCAAACTATCACAGGTATCTTACTAGAATGACATGGATTGATCTAATCCTCAGGTATTCATGCAATAAACAGTCGCTAAACCATGTGTCAGGTACTGTGCTAAGTGCCAAGGCTACAAACACTGTCAATATTAGTGACCTTTTCCTTCGACTTCTTTGAAAGCAGCATTTATAATACTTGGAGGTGGAGTCACTCCAAAACTGTAAACATAAATTGAACATCAACTCAACTCTCTCCTTCATTGGAAATGCGTGAATTAACTTTCTTTTATACCTAAATTTCACTCTTGAAATTAGTGATATGACGTGTATATATGAGAGTGTACAGACACACGCTTACTCTCCATGACACACCTTCCCTGTTTTTCTTTTTTTTTAATACTCCAGAAAGGCTGAAGATGACTAGTATTTAAAAACTTTAAATATCAGACGTAAAACTCTTAGATTAAGAATTTGGATAATTTGGGCCGGCTGAGTGGCGCGATGGTTAAGAACTGGTTGGGACGCCAGAGGGCCCCAGTTCGGATCCTACATGTGAGGGCCAGTGACACTGTCCTCCACAACTAAGATGCTGAACAACAGCTCAACAGCTGAAGAACAGCTGGGCTTCCGTGAGTCGCCGGCGACAGCATAGGCTGCAGCCCCTGTGGCAGTGGGTTGCCATGGGCTACCGTGTGTGGCCGGCAGCCAGCGTGAGCGGCCAGCAGCCGCAGTGAGCGGCCGTCCAGAAGCCGGCGACTGATCTGCCTCGCCCGGGAAGAGCGCAATGATGGTGCCAACTTGGGCCAGTGAAGCAACGTCCTCCACAACTAGACTGAAGAACAAAACAACAGCAACTTGTCTGTTCCCCTTCCCCCAATTCCCCAGCACTGTTCCCTTCCCCCCAATACCCCAATAAAAATCTTAAAAAAAAAAAAGAATTTGGATAATTTTAAAACTTAAAGTCTCTCACTATTCTTCCCAGTGGCCAATCATTAAATCCATTTAGTTTACATAAGCTAATGCTAGTTTGTCTGGTGTTTTTTTTACTCAAGTAAGAGTCCTGAAATGGAGAACTGTCTTTCACAGATTTCCCCCTTGACATAGCCCTTAAATGTACTTAAAAACTTGATCTAATGGTTGATAAACATAACCTGAAGAGGCTAAAGCTTCATAACAGTCAATCATCTTTACTGTTTAACCCACTACTACCTGAGTATTTATGGAGATGATGTTTGGAGAGTAAAGGTCTCAAAGAAGGCTTTATCTCAGGGTTGTAAACTCAGCTCCTGCTCATGCTAATCTACAGGGATGTATCTGTAATAAATGATGAATTATTAAGGTTCTTGATCTCATGTGGAGCCAGAGGTGCCATTAATGTAGTCGTTTAGTGCCATCAGGGTGTAAATAATTTATAGGATGGACAGAGCAATCATAGCAGTTTGAGGAGAATCAGTTCTGCGAGCTAAGTGCGAAGTCCTGCAGACACCGAGAGGCAGGGGTTTTCTCCTACCCAGTCACATGGGTATGCTTTTGAGTCATTGTCAATCTTCTATAATATTTTCCAGAATCTGCAGCACGAACGGGCCAAACTGTGAACTGCAACAAAGGCGGGACCTCTTCAAAGGGGCCCTTTGCAAATGCTAAAAGGACCTATTATATCCCATAGTTTGGGCACGACAATGCTTCATGTATTTATCCAGCATAATTTGCCCTTTTTTTGGGCTGCTATCATGAACACTCTTGGAGTAGACTAAAGATAAGGATTGTAAAACAACCCTTAAAATTCTGTCTGCTTTTAGGTTTGCTTTTTCTTTACCACTAACAGCTTTACACTGAAAGCTACCCCTTCTTGGAACTGTCAGCCTTTCTATCTGTCACAGTGCTGCTTAAATATTTTTCTGATTTGTTGCTTCTTACCAACTGCCATAGGCTAGGAAACCCCAGTGCCTGCTGGAACTCTCTGAAACAGGAGTAAATGAGATCTGAGAGTCTGAGAAGCTCCTTCATGAACAAATGCTTCCTGGAAGCATTTTTGCTTTGTGGTTGAACTAGAGATGGCTGGAAATATTAAGTAAATATCCTTAGGATAAATAAGATTTTATTAAGGCATGAAGCATAATGCTATTCCAAATTAAACCTTCTATCCTTCATTTGCACTACTTATTTTTAATATACTGTACAACACTTTTTCTATGAACCCAAAAAGTTGGAAATGGTAGGAAGATGAGAGCATTCATTTTAAGAATAAGAGGCAAGTTTTATTTTCTTCCATTATCTTCCCTGGGTTCTGAATGATTCAAAATATTGCTCCATTTGGGGAAATACAAAAACAAAACAAAACAGGAAATATAAATTCTCCAGTTACACTTAAAAATAAGAGTTTTTGCAGGCTCAGTTCTGGACACTGAGCAAGTCATTTAACCTCTCTAAATTGCAGTCTCCTCTACAGTTAAATGAGAATACTAGGATCAATCTCACTGGGTTGCTTAGAAAATTAAAAGGGTATAAATAAAATGCTTAGCATGCAGTCAGTGGGTAAACAGTCGATTATATAATACTAGATTTGCAGGAGGATGGCCCCGTACTCTCACCTTCTCTGAGTACCTACTGTACACGCAAGCATAATCCACTTCCCAAGGTAAAAC